GCGTAAAATGAACGAAGCTAAAATGACCAAGGAATGAGATTTCAAATAATCAACCTCATTTTCCCCAGAAAGCAATGAAATCGATGACAGGCCACCGTCGGCGAGTGCGCTGTCATGACCAAGAAGATGAGAAGACTTGGCTGCGTTTCGGTCCGTCCGCAGCGCCCCCAGGTCCAACAAGCTCCGAGACTCGCACACCGGAGGGTCTGCCGGGGCGGAACCATGGTCGGTGCGTTTCTGTGTGAAAATGTGACACTGATTTGGGCTTAAATATGCTTGATTATCACCTATGCTGGGGAGTCGGGACGGTCAGACGGACGCTGAGGATGGGAGGGAGCCCATGGCCCCGGGGCTGGAGCCGCCCACACGGACCCCACTCCTCCGCAGGGCAGGTGTTTAGTGACAGGCGCCAACTTCTCCCCCGGGGACCACAGGAAGCAGCTCGGCTGCCTAACGATGCTTCGCGACTTTGCGAGACGTGCCCGGGCCCCACCTCACGACGAAAGGCGCAGTCACGCGGAGCCTGGGGCGGCCACTCTCCGCAGAGCTTAGGGCCACCAGGGTTCCAGAGCGAGGTACACTTGGCAACGCGTTCTCCGACCCCAAGCACCTGGCCCCCGAGTCCCCACCGTCAGCGAGTAAGGGTGGTCACCGGGGACGCCGGGACGCCCAGCTAGGGGAGCCCCACCGCAGCCAGCTGAGCCATTAACGGGGCATCTACCGTCGCGGCAAAGAGAAACTGGTTCGCGGGCGCCGATCCAGTCACAGCTCCAGTCACGAGAACTAGACATTCGAGTCCGTGACTCAGCCAGAACGTTCTGCTGCGTTTCACATTTGGGGGAAAGGGAGTGGAGGTCATCAGAACTAGCTCCTTCCTGTGTTAGCAACGACGGCGCTGGCTGACGCGTCCCTCACAGACGACGACCGCGCACGAGAGCCCTAACCGCCGAGCGGCGCCCCCGTGCCGAGCATCAGCGCAGGCAGGCTCCGGGACGCCGGCCACGTCCCCTCACGGGGCAGACGACCGTACGACGTCGTTGAGGATGCCGCAAACTGTCTCCAGCAGCACTCTGTGCGCTGAGACCCCGGTCGGCTGAGCTTCGTGCTTTCTACTCGGTGACAAACGCCAGTCACGTAACGGGGACCGCTCAGCAGGCCCAGGGCGTGTGTGGGCCCGACCAGCAGCTGGACTCTACACCGAGACCATGACCAAGCTGCTGGCTTCTGCTGTCTCGCTCGGTGACGGCCGAAGGGGAGCCGGTGCTCGTAAGGGGTCCTCAGGGCAAGCGGGGAGCGAACCCGCATTTGTTACGTCCTCACCCGCTGCCGCGGACCCTGGCCACTGCCCCTGCACACTTGACCTTGACCCTGGAGGGAGGGTGTGGCTGTCCGCCCGGCCACGCCCCATAGCCCGGCACAGCCCCGGGCACTGTGCTGCTCCCTCACCGTCACCCCCATAAAGCTGGGGTACAGGGAGGCCGCCCTTCCCACCCGCCTGTAGGGTGTGTGCATGCGCGTGTAGGAACAGCCTTACCTGCTGCCTTTGCCACATCCGCAGTTGTCACGTTCTGGACATTGGCGCTCACTCTGAAGGTCACGGCTGGCCCTAGGACACTGCAAGAGACAATCGAGAAAGGTGTTCAGGGCCAGCTGGGCACACGGCGCCACCTCTCCTCAGGCGTGTGGACCACACGGACACACCCACCGGACACACTCACCGGACACACACACCGGGGCACCCCGGGGGACTCTGTTCTTGACGCTGGGACCCTTTCCGCTTCCCACTAGGTCTCCTGACAGGCTTTGCTTTCCAAACCCGCAGGGCGGTGCGCTCATAAGACCTCAAATCCCCCCGACAGCCCGACAATAACAAGCAGATATCTTGCAGGAAAAAAAATGGTTATGAAAACAGATTTTCTGCTTTCTCCTTTTTCTCCCAAGGGAGCAGAATGAATCAAAGCAGGAAGGAAAGAGAGCGGTATATTAAAAATCTTCTTGACAGGAACCATTTAAAAACTTATCAAAGTTATTAAGAACCATTCACTATAAAAATAACTGGCAGGGAATTGGCAGACAGAAATGCACAAAAGTTTTCAGAGCTGTTTAAATACTATATCGAACATGATTTTGAAAACTATCGTTTTCTAACAACTTGACTCGTCTGAAGGCCTCACGTACTTTAGAAACCGTCCATCACGTGCCCGCAGTCGCCAGGTGGAGCAGGAGCTCAGGGTCGGCTCTTACAGGCGGCGCCCGGCGCCCACGGACAGCCACGGGCTCCTCGCAGGACGACCCCCCCACACGTCCTCTCCGGGAAAGGCCCTCAGAGGGACGAGACGGAGCAAGGGCGGGCTCGGGCGGGCGAAGGCCGGAGGACGCTGGGCTGGGTCCCTCCGGAGCGCCTGCTTCCCCTCTGCACCCCTCAGACTCCGTCCCCAGACGCCCCACCCCAAGCCTCGCTCTCCTGCAAACAGCACGGAGAGGGCCCCTCGCTCCGATTCCTGAGCGTCAGCTAGAATATCGAGGACGAATCGCACCAAGACGAAACGAGAAGCAAACGCGTCACGGGGGGTGGGGAGGGGCACCTGCCTCTGGGCTCAGCCGCACGACGGCCCCCGCCTCGCGCCCCGTCTTCTCTCCCCTCAGAGAATGGGGTGCACAGCCGCGGCTGGCGTCCGGCAGATGCAGAGCTCCTGGCCTCCCTCAGAGCAGACTTCACAGGGCCCAGAACTGTCCCCGTGTCTGGCGGCGGAGCTGTCCCTGCTGTGACCACTGCAGGGTCCCACACATCGTGGACGGGCTCTGAAGGTCAAGTCCTCCCCGGTCCAGGGGCTCGGGGCTCCTTGCTCGGGCGGTGGAACCATCAGCGTGCGTGCCTTCGGCTACCGGAATCACATCACTTACAGCCAGACGGGGGCCCCGCGTGCGGCCGAAGTGCCACACCCACGTGCGGTCCCCCCGTCCTCTGCCGAGCAGGTGCCACCACGCCGCCCCCCAGGCAGGCACACCGGGGGC